GAAGAAAAATGTATTTAGAATGTTTAACAAGTGATTGATGGTCATAAGACAAACATTATTTATCGATTGCAAAACCATTTCCTTCAAACAATCACGATCTTGCACAAACCTTTATATAACGTGATGGAAGCAAGATTACACCAGTATATGGGCTATGAGAAAAAACATTTATCAAGCAATTGATTGATCAAACAGAATCAACTGCTTTGAAGATTAACCGAATACATCTTTTCTCATTTTCAAAATCCAATTCAAAGTCGTACGTAATTATTACAATATTAATATTATGGAGCCGCATTTTACTGAAATAATAAATAATAACTGTCCCAAAATGTATTTATACCTGAAAGTATGTGTATATATAGGTAAGTGTAGGTTAGCATGGAGACAGCGAGAGCTACCACTATGTCAGAGGAGTTGTTCGGTCTAATACCTGCAGCTGAGTTTCATCATCGGACGTCAAGGCAAAATACAAAATACCATCCGTATCGCCTCGACGTCCGTCGTTCCACAACAGAGCGTTTTCTAAGGCAGTTTTTGCCGCGCACCACCACTATGTGGAACCAGCTGCCCACAGAAGTATTTCCGAACCAATTCGACTTAGAGTCCTTCAAGAAAAGAGCGTACCAATTCTTGAAAGGCCGGCAACGCACTTGCGAGCCTTCTGGCATTGTGAGTGTCCATGGGCGGCGGTATCACTTAACATCAGATGAGCCTCCTGCCCGTTTGCCTCCTATTACATAAAAAAAAAATGTCAAAGTAGAACAAATTTTTGACATACGGGAAATCTTACTTTAACCTACTCTCATCCGACCTCAGGGTTACGTATCCGAACCCCGGAGCAGTAGAAATTCGTAAATCCTACACAGTCCCCAAAAATCGACGGCTTATATTAGGCACACCTCCCAAAATAGTTGAGTGTCATTGGAGTTCAAACAGACCATAAAGATAAACAAATCAAGAAGTTAATAAATATCATGCACAAAATGTTTACAAAGTAAATCAAACCCAACGTAACACAAGTGATAGTTATAAAGAAAAACTAGAAGGAATTACATTAATTGAGGAAGTTAAGTATGGTGGTTAAGCGGTAGGTTTAATGACAGTGGACACTTCCTTCCACCGGCAAGAATTCAGTTAGTGTGGCAACTGGCAAGTGCTGAGCGGATATTATGTATTACTCTCGTGATAGTGGAGATATAATTGTTTGGGTTTTCTAATTAAAGTTATACAATGAACGTAGAAAAACGTTCTTGATAAACATAGAATTGGTTGATTCAGAGATTGTATTAATGTTTCAAGTTACGTCCTACGTTTACTGATAGGTTAATTTCTTATTTTTTATTTTCTTCTTCTTTGGTTTGAGTTTAATTTCTTATTCCTTAATCATATGTCAATAAGCCACTTTTTTAACACAAAATAGATGTAGTAAATAAGCTGTTAGCAGCCCAATCAAAACGTAAAAAAACAATTTTAACGTTAGGAACGTAAGACCACACTACATCGATAGTAATGCTCTAAGTTAATCACATTCGTGACCTGGGGTTACCTTTAGGCTTAGACGGTAAACTAAACATCCACCTACACATCGACAACATTACCAGGAAAAGCTATAAAACTCTGGGTTTCGTCTTACGCAACTGCAAGGCTTCTAAAAAAACAGCACTATGATTGTATACAATCCTCTTTTGCGAAGCGCTCTGGAATAATGGTGTGTCGTGTGGAGCCCCCACTATGAATTCCACAGAAAAAGGGTGTACAAAAGCGTTTTCTTTGGCACTTGTCTTTTATAGATACACATGCAAAATAAAAACCTCGTATGGCGATCGCCTAGACTCTAGAACATTACAATTTAACGCCACTTCATCGTCTCAGGGATCTGGTAGATGCTGTTTCTTTTCGAGCTGTGTGGTCTTTTTAAGGTGAGTCCAGCGTATTGTTACACTCACCTCATATCTTGTCTAAATTGAGCTTTTCTGTTCCTAGAGGTTTGAGACTTTGCAAGCCAGCGGATACATTTTTCTCCACTAAGCGCTCTAATTTGGGGTTCCACGCACCATTAAACAGACTGTGCAATCGGCTGCAGGGCCCGAACTATCTCAAAATTTTCTCGGACGGCCCATCCGATTACAGGAAGGGCATTCTGTTATCACTTTGTACGGTTAGCTATGTTTTGTAATTTGACGTCTTTTGTTTTGTGATCCTATGTGTGTATGTTTGTGTGTGTGTCTTTACTTATATAGACGCCGTCCGCATTATTAACAAGGACACACATTGGTTGCAAAATGTATAACTTCTTCTATACTGTTTTTTGTTGTGTGGCCATGTTCGGGCGGCTACTAATAAATAAATAAATACATAAGAATTGGAAGTGACTTATAAAAGTAATCGAGTTTAATAATTACACTTATAATCTGTTGTAAAACAATAAAACTAAACCAACAATTTTCAGCATTTTGTCAATCAGTTTAATGATTCTAAGTTATTATAAGTCTTATAAGCGCCATCTGTTGCAAAATAATAAGATTGCTACGCCATATTTATAGTGGTATTTCGACAATTAATGAAAAGGTAAACTAACTTTTACAAGCGCCATCTGTTGAGGAAGAATAAAACTACGATACCAATGTATACACCCAGATAATATTAAAGGTAACGCTTATTAGCCATGGTAGTATTATGCTGACTTAGTTACAGTATTATCGTACAGATGACACTCTACGATGAAAAAAGTAATTTTAAAATTGTTACGCCCAAATAAGTAATAATTTCTATCTTAATCGATATCTTTTTTTGGTATTTATATAAAAGTAATCTATCCAATGAGATAGATTACTATAACAGTTGGAGCTAAGCTAAGATAACGTAATTAACGTTTGAAAACTAAGACAATTTGTTTTAACTAGGAAATGTAAAGCGTATTCATCTCGTTTAAATTTTTTCACACATTTGGTCCGAATAAAGAAAATCTAAAAATTATTGGTGTGGCATTCCTTATTGTATAGTACCTTTTTCAAATACGTACCTATTTCTTTATATATGTTTATTTAAAATTTAGTGGCTATGATTGGGTTTTCTATAGATGAGAAAACAGGTGTATTCTCCGTCGAGAATATTTTTTATTCACATTTTTATTTGGAGTAACTAGTTATAAATCTTTCTCAAACCTTGGGCACTCTTTATTAAGGTGATCCTGCGAGACAGTTTCATTCTGTAGGGATGCCATTTTCTGTTATTTTGTGATTGTTAAGCGACAATAAATTCTCTATTTGAGGACAATTTGAAGTTGAAAATATGCATAAATTAAAACAAGATTGTATAATTATTCCATGTATTTCACATTCACCATTTAAAAAACCTTGCACCCATAACTTGCTGCAATTGGCAACTCAAAGAAAGAATTCACGGAAAACGAAACATTAAAAGATATAATAACAAAATACAGTTCATATGAATAATGTTATTTACACCAAAGTAGGAACACGTCATTAGTGATAAATCTATAAAATAAAAAATGTATAATGATCGAAATAATTAGATTTTAATTTACATTGCTTTAGAAATTTTTCATTTGTTTGTTTTGTTTGCGTTACAGTCAAAACTAGTTGAGCTTAAATTTAACAATACATAATTTTATGATATAAGTCCTGATGTCCGTCATAAGGGGCTCTTTATCCGCCCTTGAACTTATACTACGGGTACCATGATAGACATCACTGAGAGAAACATTGACAAACATAGAAATCCCTTAGGTTTTCAAAGATGAGACTTTAGCGCTAAGTTTGACTCCTCTATGCCAAAACCGTATTGGATTTGAAATACGAAAGTTCACCTCCAGGCTCGACTCAGAATCTTGGGTACTTCTATGATTGTAAATATTTATTGAATACCAAATATATATAATATAAAAACAGTTAAATAATAACTTCTGGTACAAACTGTATTTCATTAAATAACCGATATTATTACTAATCTCAGAATTTTCTTATAATTTATCATCAGAGGTAACTTATTACGCGCGTAGCTTAATTACTTATATAATAACTATGTAATATATCTACTATAAAAAATTAATCAGCAAGCCAATCACATATCTTCAATTGAGATTTCAATTTTTGTCTCAATAAGGTTACAAAGTACTCGACGAAACTAAATTTTAACATAGTTCTTGCATTGTTATTTGTGCTACTGTCGCAAACTTGGGAAACGTGGTGCAATAACTCAATAATCAAATCGGAATCTCTATTAAAGTTACGTGGTAATCTTGCATTGATTGAAATATGCAATCCCAATATAAGTTCATTCCAGCATCATTGTATACTTTTAAGTTAAATCAACCACCTCTGTTGAATGGCCACATGGCGGCTAACCCGGTTCATTTCTTGCGAAACAAAATTCGAATTTCCAAGCGACTTATCTAAAAATCGTGTCCGGATTTTAAACAATAAAAACTAAAACTAAACTAACACAACTTATTTTTTAATAAAATATATTAACAAATAAAACTTAATGTTAAAACAATCTAATAATCACATGAATTGATGTGGTAACATTTTTACTTATAAACTATTAAACAAATTAACAATTAACAAATGTACCGCATACTCTCAGTTAGTTTTGGTAACTTATTTTAATTAACAAAACAAGTACCTTAAGTATTATGTCAGAACATTACGTCCATAATAAAAAATTGTATATAAATTTGGACGAAGCAGGCGTATGTGATTTAATCACAATCTATAAATGTTTTTAACATATTGTCTGGATATCTTTTAAACGTCGCTATTTCCTGAGTCTACTAACATTACAGGATAAAAAGCGTTTAATGAAATATTTTTATTTTAGGAAAAAAGGAGGATCCAAGCGACGGGTTTAATTTTACGACGACGCATGATGGCCGACGTAAACTTTAAAATTGTGATTAAACACGTTTTAATCAATAAAGTATGTTTTAAATCACATGACACTTAATTGGTTATTAGACCTAGTTAATATAGGTACTATCTAAGTAAGGAGTCATCGCAGCCCCGCCGCTTGCCAAGCTGATGACAAAGTTGCGGTGACCCCACGATATCTCCTAGGAACACGCTGAGAAGGTACAACTCTTTGGCCTGGTCAGGAGAACGTTTGTACTGGCTGTAAAAATAATTAGGATTAAAAGACATGAATACAGTACTGGGACAACAAAATTCAGTTCGATTTATTCTTGTGGATTTTGGAGGCATATTTAAGTAGTGTATTGGATCATTTGTCACTGGGAGAGTTTGGGCGCACTTTAAATACATAACCGCTTCCAACCTTTAGTTTTTCAAATGCTTTAAATTTTTACGTTTTATTTGAGCGCTTCTACCACAACTAAGCATGAAGTGAGTATGAAGTTACTATGTTTAGAGACACAGTGTAATAATGCATATTTGTTTAACAATTAATTTAATTATGATGATTTGTACAGGAAAATACATTGTGGTGCTGGAGGTACATAGCTGTTTCCATAGTAATAGCTTGAATGGATGGGAGTGTGATTAGATAAGTGAAAGTTGCCGCAGTGTTATGCAACACTAGCACTGTATAAATCTACTAAGCTGTATTCCTAATGACGTATTTACGAGTTACAAATAACATTAAAAAAATATATCATATAGTACGAATTTTTTTATGAACGCAATCCTACTTGAGTGAAATATTTTTCATTGCTTTTTGCCTCAGTCTCATTCTAACCATGCTTTTATCCAAATTTACGCATCAAATAACGTAATCTATAAATAAGCTAAGGTTCTTTCATAACTAAAAATACACCTACTCAATTATAATCCTTAGAAATACGTTGAGTATTAGTCTGATTTATATACTCGGCGAATGAATTCGCCTGGCCAAACTCAAAACCAGACAAACCATTAAGGGAAGTAGTCTTAGAAAATTATGACTGCCTTATTCCTTTGAGTATAAACAGAAAATATGAAATTGCAATTATAAATTATTCATTAGGTAAAGTTCAACTAAAACAATGAAACAGCCTTGACACGTTGGTTTCTTCGATTGCGACTTCCAAGGCCACGTATTGGGGGCAGTGAATGCACAAGCAGTGACCAGAAGTGGGCCGCGTTACATCAACGCATACGCAACCGGCAATCACGAATTATTCGGAATTGGTCACTGTTATATGCCAACAAAGTCCATAACTTTGATACTGGAATTTGTTTCCTTAATCCAAAAATTCCATTATTTAAAGGCCTTACAAGCTAAAGAGTTTTACAGCCTTATTTCTTTTACTAATTTAAAAAACATGTTGTAAAACTTCTATTTTTTGTGCTGGCTCTCTCATACTCGCGTTACAACTGTCATTGCAGTTTTTATTTTTCAACGACTATAAAATATTATGTATTTGCCCCAAAATGTCGACAGGACCATAGACTAGCGACGCTCTTACTAATATTCAAACGTTATTAAATGTTAGTATCTAATTGTTTTTTTTATAGTTTTTGTCCTTAAATAACATAATATGATGTCAACAATTAATATATGTCTTCTTTTCGCTGGCATTTTACTTAAGTATAAGCTATAAACTTAATGTATTATTTAAAATCGTTGATATGTTTCTGCGGATAGAGACAAAGACAAAAATATATTGGTATTAAATATAAGTTATAAATTGTTAAAGCAGAAATAGTGTTAGCAAGGAACCATGGTCCGTATGCATACACTTCTTTACTAAATCGCAGGCTTTTGTTCTTGATTGTGTACGTCGTGCAGTAGAAGTGTACTACGGTACCAATCAATGACAGTAGTGGGTTATAAATAGGAGTACAAATACCAGTTAATAGTGGATAGATGAGAAAGATGACATTACATATGTTGGTATTGTATACAGTGTGGTCCAACTAGTGACGTCAATAATTTTTTTTTTGATTCCTCACACCTCGACCTTTTAAGATGGATAGGCTAAAAATCATTGAAGCATTAAAAATGTTTTTTTTTCGACTTTTATTATTCTTATGGTAAATTAAACTTTATAATGTGATTTTAATACCCGTAAAATAAATGTAAGCTGTTATCGGCCTTTAAACTTGAAACTTGCTGAGATTTTTTTTTATTCGATCAACATTGAAGACAATCATTTCACAGAAAAAAAAACTGACACCTACAGCAAAAAAAGATATGAATTTTTGAAACCTCACTGGCAGAAAACATTCAAGAAACACAAAAAATGTGTAACTCGAAAACTACAAAAAATCGCGGAACATACATGGGGTATTTTCGTATACCCCCAGGTGTGAGGAATGTAATTTTTTTTTATTGATGTCTCTAGTTGGACCACCCTGTATATTTATATTGCGTGTGCTAATAGCTACGCTGCTCAAGTATAAAGCGATTCCGTATCAACGTTCAGCCCTAAATAACAGTATACACTTGGTTTAAAACTCGTATCGTATAACTAAAGTACTAGGGTCATCTGTTAGCTGCAGGCCAATCCATCCTAAATCCATTAAGCTTGGCTCCGTGCCCAGCCCAGACACTGAAGTGTTCCAATATTGTCAAACTTATCAAATTAGAGTTTTAAAGTGTTTCTAGATTACCTATACAAACGTTATGAAGTTGTAAGATAAGATTAGAATAACGAAACAGCTAATTGAAGTATTAAAATTATTCTCGCATTTTGTCACGTGCACTAACGGTGATAACAGCGATACACACAAGCTAACTAAATAAAGGCTGGCAATGGACCCACTAACATCCCGTGACAAGAACAGACGTAACAGAGCCGTCCTGTAGGCTCGTTTGCAACTATTTTATTTAAAAAAAAAAAATTGTAAACCAAGAATTTAGAAGAAAAATAAATATTAAATATAACTTTTTCGTATATTTTCTATGATTAGGGGAACGGTTTTATAATTTCTGTTTTAACGTCAATCTATGCCTTAGTCGCCTTCGTCTGCATTAGAATTATTATAATAAAAGGTTTCGGTATTTCGCGTTATACATATTAGCAGTTATTTGATGCTTAAAACCCATTTATATATACTATACAGTATACATACCTAAAAACATCTGGCCAGTCCATTTGAGGCTTCGGTTGAATCCTGGCCCTTGCCGCATAGTGTGCGCACACTCTCTCAAAAACACATGCGCGGGCGCCGAATTCACCAACGATATATTTTTCCACATCTAGAACGTCATAATTCTCTGGATCGCTTGCAAAAGTAAGTTGACGTCTGTTCCTGGAGCGGTACGTTGCTGCAAAAGAAAGACATTGATTAGTCACAAATGACATTAAAAATATGTTTTAAGTACTGAAAAATTAATACCACTGAAAAGTATATAATATTGTTTTAAATAATAATAATCATATCGCTATAACATAGTACTATATTTTATAGTAAATAATGAATAAGTTCATCTGACAATTAGAGTATGAAAATACGTACATTCCTAGACCTAAAGATAAAAACATTATAGGTGTTTTACTTACTGAGTACTAATATGATGATTACATAAAATATAATTTAAAAAATCCTCTTATTATATCAAGTAAAATATAACAAAATAATGTTATATTGTTTTACAATCTAGATATTGTTAACAGATTCTGTCAAAACACTAATTTAATCCGGTCATTTTACTTGTACCATGTACACACAAAAACTTGCTATTTAGCCTTATTTGCCGGCCACATTAGAAATATTCTTCGTATATAATTTTAATTTGACTGAAACTCGATGGTTATGGATAGTAATGCACACATTGTTATTAATTTGATAATATTTTATCAAAACGAAATGCGATCGAACCGTGAACGGCATTGTTAATAACGACGTGAATTCTATATTCTTCCTTACCTATGAGGATTATACAATTACACTAGATTTATAAAGGATTGGGAAAAGATGCGTATGTATCAGGATTCAGGGTACTTATAATATTGACTTTAGTAACCGTATCAAAGCTTTACTAACAAAGGTTTTTTCTCAAATTGTAAGTAACACAAATTTAAGATCAGCCTTGCGATTCTGTAACTCACTTTTCGAACTCACACAGCGGTTTTCACACCGGCGGTCGCGCTCAAATCAGTCGTGAAGCAGTCATTTTTTGATTTGGCATTCTGATAAGGAGGGAGCTTGTAGTTTATTGTTTATACCTAAACTGAGACTGATTTGAGCGCGACCGCCGGTGTGAAAACCGCTGTGTGAGTTCGAAAAGTGAGTTACAGAATCGCAGGGCTGAAATAAATGTTTTGTACTTATACTTGTCTTAAAACTATCACTCCTGTCTCAACGATAAATTATATCCTAAATGTGCATACGCCATCAAAATGCTAGTCATTAGTTACTAGTCAGGGCGCAGGTGTTACTTTAATCAAAGAACGCGAACGTTTAGTAGAGTACGTACCTTAAATATACAAATTAAATGAACAAAATGCTTCCAAATTACTTTGCTGGTGTTTTAACCGCGTTCACATTTCGTAACTAATAAATAGAGTTAAACTTGCTTGTGGTGTAAACCATTGAAATACCAGCATACATTAGATCCAAAAATTGATGAGATGTGACAGGTAGAGGCAAAATAATTAGTGACGCTACAACCTAGGGCCTAGGCCTCAGATTTCTGTATCTATTTCGTGATCATTAGTTCTGTGCCTGACACACGCCGTCGACTTTTTGGGTTTAACACATGCCGGTTTCCTCTCGATGTTTTCCTTCACTTTAAAGTCCATGGTGCACGGCCGGGGTCAAACCTACGATATCAGGGATGAGATTCGCACGATTAAGACAACATTGCTCACTGCAAAAAGACAAAGCTTCTTCAATTGCTTCTTTATATATAAATGTTCAATAAAAGTAATTGCGCACTCTAAGATCCATAAAATATTTTGAATAAAATTTCTTTAAATGTTATAAACTCATTAATTAAATTATTTACGACGACGTTTAGATTTTTAAATCGTGGACATTCAGAGTCCAAAAATACTGTAAGCAATCTTATGATTGAGTAGCATTCTTGTTATACAAGCTTTTAATGAATTCAGTTGCAATAAAATATTTAAAAGTATGCAGAAAAGCATATGAAACCAAACAATGACCTATAAATGGAGGTCTGTTAAATAATGTATGCAGCCTCACGATTTTCAGTTTTCGGTGTTTACAATGAAATTTAATTTGATGTATTATTTCTCGAATACTCTATATTGTGGTTACGAAATTATATAGTATAAGTTTAATTTTAATAATTATAAACGCATTTGTAGAAACGATTTTTTGTGCTATTTTTAAGTATGTATTTAATTTTAATATATAAAAATGAATTGCTATTAGTTTGTCTCGCTAAAACTCGAGAATGCCGGGACTGATTGGGCTAATTTTCATGTTGAAATATTTGTAGAAGTTCAGGGTAGGTTTCAACGGTGGAAAACATAAATAATAAGTAAAGAAAAATGCTTAATACAACAATTCAATTTTCCATTAAAAACTTTTTACTAGCTTGGAAAATTTTGATGTCTTTTATCTTTTTAGAAATAAAAATTCATATATTTATAAAATATAATCTTTTTAGAAATAAAAATTCTTGTTTCATAGCTGTAGAATGAGGACCGATCTATTTGGTCTATTTCAAAAACTTTGTATTAAGTTTTGACACAAATGAATGTAGGTGATACGAAGTTAACCGGGTCATTAAGTTATTAATATAATATATTTAGTTAAGTTTATGTTTTATATTTTACATTTAAGGATTGCTTTTTTGTTGATTGAGACAAAAGTGTATTTTCTTTTGTCATTCAATTCGAATGTAGAATCATTCTAACTACTACTAATATGAAAGTGTTACATTATAATAAGTTTTTTGTAATTTTGGAAAAATATTACGATATATCAAATGGCAGAAAAACTAAACTACACGCGAGGTTTTTTTTTGGGAAAATATTATCTCCATTAAATATTGGTCTTTACCGGCGCATAATATTTTATGTATCATTATCATTTTTCGCAGCAAAGCGGGCGCTTTCCCGAAAAATACGATCTTAATGGGATTCGTATTAAAATAATATTAGCAAAAGTAGCTATTCAATTTGAACTCTCAACTTTTTCTCATTATGGCAAATTTGAATTTGGACCACGAAAAAGGCTGGACGCGTATAAAGTATAATTGATTAAACAATCAAAATTTCATATATGTATTGATATGCTCATATGGTATAACAGAAAACAGAAATAATGAAAGCAACAATATTTGAAAAGATTTTCTTAATTGTGTTTTAGGCTTTTAGAATTCATAAAAAGAAACATAACAGATTAAAAATAGGTATTCAGTTAACATATGAATAGAGTAAAACGTTTAAATAATTCATTATTAACAAAATTTAGATTCAATGCATATAGTTTAATATTCAAATGAGCTCTGCTACACAAATTGCGATAAAATGTTGTGTTTGAATTTAACCATTCACTAATCTATTCAAATACCATTTTAGTTTTGAAAGTTTCACGTTTTTAAATATTTCACGCCCTCGTATTAACCCACCTTGCCATAGAGAAAAGACTAATTATTTGCTATTATTATTTTCTTTATTCCTACATAATTATGTATTTACAGTGTATATTTGCGAATGCTTGGCGGACCCATGCGACTTCTTCAATACAAATAATCCCCTCGTGAGTTTTGTGCTGCGATATTGCGGGCTACTCGATTGTGAGGAAGTTGCATGGATCTGTTGAGCACTGCGTCTTATTAGTTCTCATGTTATTTTCACACACGTATATCCTTTTTATAACATATTTTCACGAGTATCTAATCGTCCTCCTTGTAACATGTGTGATGTTTGAGTTTAAAAATAAACTAAACTGTGCACACAGGGTACGACAACAAAAATTAATTAAAACATAGAAACTTAATTTAAGATATAACCTCGAGCATGGGTGCGGACGGCTTGAACATTAAGTACACCGTTTATAAGTAGTGAAATCTCTACATTTAAAATACCTATAATTACGTTGTTAGAAGATTTGTCAAGATATTATTTTCTTTTGTATCAATTGTTTAAAAGTTTCAGTGATTGCCTTTGATAAGCAGACTATTTCCGGAACCTCCATATCAAACAACAATCGGAACAATCCTATAATAATATATCACATATTTTCTGAACAATGAAATGCACAGAATAATGTTATTGATTTGTAGTTTACGCAATATAAAGTATCAAAAATTCTATATTCATTTTGTATGAGGTTCCAAATTCGATTTAATACTTGGCACATCACTGATCTTACTTACTAGCCTTAAAACAGAACGCAGAAACGATTTTGTTACATGTTGTTACCTTACGGAGATTATGTAACTAACTGACTACAAAATTAAATCAAAATAAAACCTACCAGGACTTAATGAATAACCCAGCTTCTTGAAGAAATTCGTTAATCGTACACTGCCCAAAATAACAGGAAATCCGATCAATTGTACCGGAAGTTCGAACGGCGAATCCTCGCATGCAACTTCATTGAAACTCACGCACAAAATCAATATAAAGCATAATTTATTAAAATTCATTTTTACGCACTTAATTTACTGCGATGCGACTAATATTCTATTTTCAAACTTGCGCGCCTTTTTTTGTAGAAACTAATTCAAAAATTACAGAACACGATCAATATTCCATATTCAAATTTGCGCGCGTGTTATACAGACGAGCTAATTGTCAAAACTTAGAGGCAGCTGGTACGTGCTTTAAGTTCGGCTAGAATAACTGGTAATGATGGTATCGGTCTGCGAACGACACGGCTTCCCCGTCTTGTTGGTCAATCGGAAAGTTATGTCATCACGCGATAAGTAGGTTATTGTGCTCACTTACACTTTTGATTTTCCGTACTTAAGATTCACTTACATAGATTAATTAAAATACGTAGATAGTACAAAAGCAACGCTTGTAACTTAAATGTATTTGGGCTTTTAATACATCTTTTACCTTTCTTATGTTATTAAAAGCAAGTTGTTTATACTGAACTCTTTGCGTATAAATTCTTGTAACCTACATACATACACACATATTTCGTTTTATTAATGATCCTAATCCCATTTCTAACCATGTCAATAACTGATCAGTTTCCTTTGTATATTAAGAAGTTATAATTTAATTATTGTCTTTCCGATAATTTAACCTAAGATCGCCTATTGTACTAACCTAAGCCATAAAGGCGTTTTCACTTAGTGTATATAAAAATAACACCATTAGGTATAAACTTCAAAAAAAAAGGGCTTAAATAAAAGCTTTTTACTCTTGATTAATACTTTTTAAATATTTTTTAAAGATTTGTTCTAAATGCGGTTCTTTTAGAGTGTAAAGTTAAATAGGTTTTGTTCTACGAGTGAAGTTTGCAAAGTTGCTGTATTTGCTTGAATATTCTTGAAAGTTTAAGTATTTTACTGAATAGAGTCTTTTTATAATATCGGCTATCTAAAGTTAAAAAAGTGTTTTGATATTTTCCCGTTTTAACAATATCCTAAGATAAAATAATAAGTTTTACACAAATAAATAAATAATCGCTCAAAGTTTAGATCAAATTGTAATAGAAAGTAAAGTGGTAGAGGCCAACCTGTGCACAACCTTGCAGAAACATTTAAAATAAATTAATTATTAACACATTTACATTAATTTCAATAAATTCCTCATAAGAGGAAACGCTAAGTGCGTATTTATATGGGTCACTTTAATTAAAAACTTTACCTGGATCGAGGGCGTACGACAGTTTCTTGAGGAAAGAAGTAACTCGTACAGCCATTATTATGAATGGAAAACCAACTAATTGGACGGGCAGTTCAAAAGGACTCTGCTCCGTGCCAACCATCACACAATGTAGCACTAAAAAAGTTAGCACTGTCCACAGATAAAAAACTTTCGATAGCTCCATTTTTGCAGTTAACACCGACTTTAAAAAGTTCGAAATTTAAATTTAGTTCGTTCGGTATTAGCACTAGTTTTTTACGGCGTTGCAGGCTCGTGGTGTATTTTTAACTGACCATACCTAACTGCGTGTTACTTGTTGTAATGTTGTAATCTAATGATCTATTACTAAATCACCCTGCCCATTTGTCACTTGTTTCGTCAGGACAAACCTAATTTGTCAAGGACCGTTAAATAACGATGACGTGACAAAAATCATGTATGCTCAATCAGTTTTATTTTTCGGACTTGAGTTAAGCGTTAAGCCACTTACATAATAAGTTAATATAAAATAAAAAAAATATTTATTTAGATCCAAAGAAACTAACAATGACAACGAAAACCTTTTTTTAATAAACTACCAATTGAGTAGCAACAAATGTCAAAATTTCGCGCGCGCACAAAATGCACAAAACGCATGCGTTTAATAAAACGTCATTAAACCAACTGATAGTACTAAAATTGTTAACCCCACTGTCTATTGTCTGTGGAAAGTACTAGATTGTTAAACAAGAAATTACCTAACCATTTGACAGTTGAACCGATACACTACGTAACGTGAAGACATATATACCTAACGTAACTAACTGGATTCAAATAAACAAGACTAAAAAATCGGCGAAGTGTGTCAGTATTAAAATATAAGGCTTTATTTTTCTCATAATAATACATTTCAGAAGATATTTAAGGTTATTATAATTAACAAATATGCATTCATATGTACTTTGTTAGAGTGTACAGTTAGTTGTTTAGCTGACTATGACCGAGCTTTCTACAAAACATCGAGTAATTAATATTTAAATATGTCCTAAATTCGCGTTTACATCTATGAAGTTTAATTTACATGTGTAGTAAACCAAATACAAAAAATAAGCTTCTAAAAATAATCTAAAAGCAAAAGTTACACAACATTCTCACCCCATAATCATAATCGTAATTACACCGTTATAACAAAGTATTGAATCTTTTCGTATACACAACCTGACAGAAAGGGACAAAGTATATTATATACAATGGTTCAATAAAACAATTTTATTTATAGCTTAGTCTAAAGAGAGCGATTGAGCGATGGAAAAATTGTAACAAAGAGCAATTATACTTCCGTAAAAAGGTACGTAACTCTTTCGATACCATATAAACGAATAACTTAGGTCTTCCGCAATACCGGAGAAATAATACGAGAAAACAGGCCATCACAAAACCATCAATAAGGGTATATTTTATAATTTTAGCATAATATAATTGTCTCGATAATTATTCTTATATTGAATAGTTTAAAATGATTTATATTACGCAATATTGTTGACGATAACAACAACAACCAACAACAACCTTACCAACCAAAGGTAAATGTTATGTTTAAATACCTACTTAAAAATATAATTTACCTTTTATCACAATTGTCAGGTCAAGGCTTATGTTATTTAAAACAATTTGAACTAATATATTTTTCCAAAGTAGCTTCCGAAGAGCCGACAAGAAGCGGTCGTTCCTTTTTTGATAATCAAATTTATACAACTATATAACGAATCGCAGAATGGTGCTAACCGCAAAACTCGAAGACGACTGCACCGATTCGAGTTTTTTAAATTTATTCCTTGAACTCTGAGCAATGTTTTTATGTAGAGAAAATTGCCTTAAACCAGTTTTTATTCCGGAAAAGCGATGGTATGTAGCTCCTAAAGGATAGGCTAAGTAAAAAAAATATGTTCAGGCGAAACGAAATTCGCGGGGGTAGCTGGTAATTATACAATTCTAAAGCATGTTTTTCTCGTAAAGTTCACAAAAAAGAGTCGACTCAATCTAGCCTATACAATAGTTATGGCTAATAAGTAATATTATGTTGACTTAACTTTCTGCAATACTAATAAATAGTTTAAACTAAGGTAATGTTCATTAACAGTTTTTGTGTTTTATAATGTTTAGACACTATGTTCGTGTGTACGAGATACCGCACTTGCACTTATATTCACTACACTATGTTTTTTAATTTAAAAGGTTTAGTTCTCTTTAAGCGAATGTAATGCTGTATTTTGTTTACCTACACATATTTATGTATATTAAATATAATAATTTAAAAAATGCCAACAAATATATGTAAATTAGGAACTTATGATCTGTGATTATATAACATTGTGTGTGGGATCCGATGGTTATTGTCTTTGTTAGACCATAAAGGCCTGTACATGACCTCAATATGTAAGATTTCCCACCAACATACATATTGTATGTCTTTGCGGTTAAACTGAATATTTAATAATAAGGGTTAAGTTGTCGTTCACTCCTCGTTATTAGAATTTAAAATCACATCACACTGAAAAGCCTTCTTACTGCAATTACCATCTGGTTGTCTGGAAGAGATCGCTTATAGCTTATAGTTCGCGATAAGACCGTCTGTTGCAATTGCTTTTCAGTTCTTCATTATTATTTTAACAGTTATATTATGTGCATAAAGAGAAAAATAAATACAGCCAATGATAGATTACAATATACAAAAAAATATTATTACTTATTTGTGGATTAAGTAATTGTTTATAACATTTATCGTCTCAAATTCGATTGTTTCGGTGCGTTATAATTAGAAGGCTGACCTACTTGTACTGAACAATTGCTATTAAAACATAAATAATCGGCGGAAAGAAATTTAATATTTTAATCATAATTTCAATCAAAAGCTAAAAACTTTCCTAGATTTTTAAAGTAAGTATAATATATAAGTAACATTATAATATTGTAAATATTTATGTAATTTAATATAAAAAAAATTCTTTTCTCACATTGGTTGCCTGGAAGAGATCGCTCGAAAGCGATAAGGCCCCCAGTTGCCTTTCCTTTACATGTAATTATGTTTAATTTTTATATTATAAAGCAACAAAGTGTGAATAAATAAATAAAATTATATCATAGGAGATACTTTAATAGATGTTGGTGTCGGTTAAATTCCGTTACTAAAAATGTTATGTATAAATATAATTAAATGTGCAATGGAGCCATGCGGTTGGCAGGTTATAAGAAAAACTTATATTAGAAAATAAGTATCATACATAAAGCCGTACAGTGCAAAGTAATTACAGTACATAATATAGAGTTCCGCCGGCTACTTAGAAAAATTTAATCAACTCTGCTAATTAACTGCTCCCATCTCAAGTCCAAGAGAAACTTGAGATTTAATTTTCTATGTGATAATTCCAACACTTGAGAATTGAAAAATGTACACGATTTATGTTTTAAATATTATAGATAGGTCAAAGAAAATTAACATATGATATCCAAGTTATTTTATAAATACGTACATATTTGTAGCTATTTTGGGTAATAGTAACAAAATAATCAAGAAATATTAGAATTATATATTATTTTTAACACCCAGATATGAACATAAATAATTATGATAGAATAATTAGTATTTATGTAAATACCTCATCGATTTTGTGTTATTATTTAGGAAATTTAGATTTCACACGAAGAGAAGTATTCATTTTTATTATAACTACTATATCCGGTAAAATTAATGAAAATAAGGATCAAATAATTTCTAATGTCTGTCTTAATAGGATGACCGTTAAGAAACATTACGTATAACTTAGATGGTCTAGGTTTGATTGCCGGCTAAACACAAATAATCAATGTTTTACGAAAATAGCCTACTATGATGGTTATTAATACTAAAATGCATACCAGACGCCGCCACTATCAGCAGTACAGCTAAAACAGCACTTAAACTGCCCATTTCACTAAATATTTTACGGCACACTGGTTCGCACAGTGTCTGAGTGTATTATAATCCCAGTCTCACGAAATCTCATTGAGGCCGCATTGTGACAGAGACGATTTCATGTGTTACAAAGATTACTAATAGGTTTAAAGCAATGGAAAGTATTCTCGATGCATACTTAGTGCTTGCATAGTTTGGGTGAAGTTTAAAATAGTTTAGTTTTACATATAACATATTCATATATGTATATCAATATTTTTTATAGAACTGGGGGCAATCGGGAACATGGGGAATGTTTTACAAACGAATGCGCGCCGGCCTTTTCAGAATTGTTACGCTCTTTTCTTGAAATAAATAATAAGAGGTAAATAGAGGTAAAAGTTTGCCTCGGGTCTTCACTTACTACCTTCTTCTCCAGGATCTATATCAAAGCCAGTCGATATCACTGCAATTCGTTGATTTTTTCATAAAAATGCAGTGGCTAACAGAAAATGTATAAGTTCCTTTCATTTTTGAGTTCTGTATATTTTCTGTTTCCTAAACCTGAATTACGTCAGAGCCGAAGATTGGATAAAGAAATCTCGCGATTCCCACTCACTTTTTGAGATACTGGACACTTTAGGTGTCATGAGACATATACTTCAATTGCTGTTCTAGACTTCATATAATTATAGCGAATTTTTACTGTCGGGAAATGAACTTACAAATGAACCGAAATTATGACCTAAATGCTGCCCCAATCAGAACCAAATATGTTTCGTAATTAAAACAATTTCTTTCTTATAACCCAAATTGCTTCAACAGTTTTCCTTGCTTTTGTAAATAGTTAAATTACTCGCGTGACCAAGGCCACACACAACAAACACGTAATAAATCGATTAAAGTCAAACAAGAATACTTTACCATTGACTCATACACTTGCTTTCCTCTGTTTCTGAAAGCCTTAGCTTGGTTAATACTATTTTCTAAGAAGGGATGCTGACGCATCCCTGCAAGCATTGTACCCGGCCTCCCCCAGCTCTATAAAACAGGATGAATTGGCCGATGTGAAAGGCCCTTGCTGTGCCAAGGTCCATTCCACATTATTCGTGGCCGTAGAGGACCGTTACATTAACGGTTGATCGCATTACCCCACGGGAAAAAAAAAAAAAAAGGTTAATACTATTTTCTGGTTCTAAATATATCTTAATGCGTTGTAAAACTATGAGAAATAAAACTAAATATATGATAATTAGTACGACTTATATACGTAA